TCAATCCCAATGAAATCTCTAACTCTTTCAAAATTACCAATGGCCTCCTAGTGGCATTCCTAACCAGTTTCCTACACGCTTGTCTGCTCAGGTGGAAGGGACAGCCCAATCTAGATCTAGGCCTGGGTGCCTTCTGCTACAATGATTGATTTCACCATTCTCACCGAGATATTCGGTGTCTTTGAAATGTTTGTACACTATTATATTGATCTGTGCCTTTATACAACTTAATTCATGAGTTTCTTTTTTAATCTCCGTAGTCTCCGTGGTTGAATCTTTGCTTGAAATTCACTAACTAACAGAGGGGCCTTACAGAGAAAAGGATATTTATTCTGATATCATGTGAATCATAAGTATTGCACATACTGTAGACACAGGCCACTTAACTGATTTTGTGGCAATTTAAGGTAATTTTGTGCTTCTAAATTAGTTTAGAATTACAACAGCATAGGATTTAAATACTTGTGCAGTCATTGTTTCTAATTTTTTTAAATATTCATTACCTTTTTTAAACTTTTTATATTTTGCTTTGAATATTTAGAGTAGATTGTGTATCTAACAAATATTAATTTCATGCTTCAGATTGTGATTACTGCAAGCTTCAGAGCAAGAAAAAATGAAAAGTGTACATGGGTCTGAATACTTTTGCAAGGCACTGTACTTTAAGAATATGTAACATCTTAATGATTTAAAGCTGCATCATCTTTGGTCTGGATCTCAATCTCATCAGCTGGGCTACTGATTTCCTAACAGACAGAACCCAGAAGGTGAGAGTCAACAATGTTTTATCCAACGAAAAGAATTCCTCTACTGGGCCCCCCAAGGATGTGTATTGTCACCCTAGCTCTTTGTCCTATACACAACGACTGAATGAGCTATCACCACTCAAAACACATAACTAAATTTGCAGACGACTGTCATTGTTAGCCGTCTGCATGCAAACAAGTGGAGCCACGGACCAACCGTTAATGAGTTTGACTCCTGGTGTGAACAAAACTTCCTCAAGCTAAATGTGTCCAAGACTAAACACATGATAATGGACTTCAGGAAAAACACCCACACTCCCACCCTAACCTACACTGGGGGTGATTCGGTGGAGCTAGTAGAACAATACAAGTACCTGGTGACAGTTCTGGACTCCAGGCTAAATTTGAAAGCCAATACTGACCTGATCCTCAAAAAAGGACAACAGCTTTCTTTTTCTTAAGGAAGCTTAAGTATTTTAAGGTCAATGATTCATTGTTGATTTTATTCTATCGGTCTTTCCTTGAATCTGTTTGAACGTTTACCTTGATATTCTGGTTTGGCAACATGAATCTGAACAGGTTGCCAAACAACAACAAACTGGGCAGTCTTGTGAAAATACATCAGAAGGTCATTGGTGCTGATCTTCCAGCCCTCTCCTCTATCTATCATACACATGTGTTGCATAAAGCAAAATCCATTTGTGATGATCCTTCACACCCCTTGTTTAATAATTTCCAGTTACTCCCTCAGAAAGCACATACCGACTCCCCAAAACCAAAACCAACAGATTTAAGTTCTCATTCATACCTGTAGCCATATCGTTACTTAACACTTGACTTTCTATCCAAATATATATGTGTATTGTTGTTCCTGTTGTGTTTTGTTCTTCTGTCCATCTATACACCAACACTGCTGTTGTAAAACAATTTGCCCCCTTGGGGATAATAAAGACTCTCTCTCTCTCTCTCTCTCTCTCTCTCATCATGCACCTTCATTTCAATTGCTTCCCCATGGCCTCCCAAATGGTTTAGCCAGTAAAGGTGCCCATGTGAGGAACACTATACTCCGGATAGCAACCAGTGATATCTTGTTACTGTCTGAGCTACTGTACATTATTAGGCAAGTGTGATCAGGATTCTCCTGCCAGTGGTTTGAAGCAACTAGAGTATCCTTGGCTAGCTATAGTGACAGTGAGTTTCTGCAGCTTGCCAGGTGCCTGTGATCTTACAGTGTTATTAATAAGAGCTGTACCCATCCTACTGTACCTTTGAAGCTGTAGGTATTTCACTTGCACACTGTCTGCATAAGAGTGCATACGAGTTGGACTGTATGACAAAAATGCAGATCACAGGAAATGTGCTGTACATGGTCTTCATCTCTTTGGCAAAAGCATCAGGTTGGCTGATTTTTACTTTCCTAGTTACATTCTCTCCATCTATGAATAATATCAAACTGGGGTTCAATTTTCTAGTCTTATGACAAAGTATAATTTTCTCTTGGAAGATGTGGTCACTGATGCTGTAAAAATGTTCTGAGATGATAACATTTTGTGTCCTAATGTTTTCTGTAAAATGTGTTATGTTCTTTACAAATGTATTTGCAGGGAGATATGCATTTTCACTACATATTGGGCAGAAATGAAAGTGACACAATATACTTGTAGTATACCTTATTTGTAGAATGGACAGAGGGCATCAGGAAGAAGCAATGCAATACTCCAAGAAGAGTTGACATAAAAATGGTACAAAACTACGATCACACATTAAAAAGATCCATGCATCTGGAAACATCTGCAGTATCACTGAAGAAGTGGATGGTATAAAATGTCAATGGGCCACACATTTTGTAATAACAGATTAAGACTGAATCAAGGAAACACTGGATCAGGAATGGATCCCAAGAAACAACTAATGTCCAATGCAAAGAACACAGAAGATGAAGAAGAAAGATCTGGAACTTAGCTGCAAAATGAAGTGACAGCAGTTCATGCTTAATTTGCAGCTTAATTTGAGTCCTTTCTTTTATTTTATATCCAGTGATCTCACTGATAAGAACCACATTCTTTTACTTCATATACTATCATACAGTATATGATTTTGAAGATGGATTGAAAGCATTTTAGTCAATATTTCAAAATATATTTTCTATAAGTCTTATCATTCTATTAGAATTGTTTATATAGTTTTAGAAATATTTTAAATTAGAAATGAGAAATTGTCTCATAATTATTAAAGCTTCTATTTTACTAACTCATAAAAAACATGTTGCAGTAAATTCTAATAAGAATTAAGAACTACAGTATAAGAAAGACAACCCCACAAATAATTGCTGTATGTAACTGCTGCTGCAGATCTGTAAATCAAATGTTAGACTAGTGTTAATTAACTCTGGCACTCACATTATTATTAAGGCTCCATTAATAGATTTTCACTGGACCTGTAACAAATTCCATTTCTTAAGCAGTCTGTATCACAGCCTTGCAGTCCTATTCAAGATCAGAGCTGCAGAGCAGATTAAGCACTGACATGAAATCCATCACAACACTGCATTGCATTAAAATAGGATAGACTGAATAGTGAGCATGCTGATTGGGGAGATAAAACTGATACACTGCATCTTTTATGTCCTTAAAAGCCTTATCCTTAAAATGATAAAGATACAGTGCAACACATTATTGATGTTCTATGTACTGTATAGTATTTTAAAATCTGAATAAACTCAGTGAAAACAAAACAAAAAAAAGAGTTAGAATGACTGTTCCTTATTTTTTACATAACATATTCAATATAAAGTACAAATTATGAAATTTGTTAAGTGCATTTATTTTTGTAACATGAAAGAAGAGGGTGTTCCTCTTGCTGTCAAGAAATCAGCACCTGTTTAAAATAGAAAGGTGTAAATATTTATTATAGCACCTGTTTAAAATAAAAAGGTATAAATACAGTATAATATAAAATAATACAATCATACTGTATATTTAAAAGCTATTTTAGCGTGACATTTTAAAATACATTGCTATAGCTATTTGTTTTAATTTTTAAACAATTATATTTGTGAAGTGTATGAATCGGAATATTCTTTCCACAAAAACTACATTTTGTTTCACTGACTGAAAATGGTGCAGAAATTGTTCACATCTGCATCAGCATTTCTGCTTGTAAAATAAACTAAATCTTTTGTGGAAGTCTTCGAAGACCCACTGTCTCTTCAAACTATTTTTATAGAGATAGAAATGAATGTAGTTGAAAAGTCAATATATTAATTTTCATATATCACATAACAAATAATCTAATAACGGTGAGATCTGTTATTAGAAAAAAAGATTAATTACTTCAAAAGTATCACAAAGTATCATATACATTATTTATGAAAAAAATAATGATAATAATTAAAAGTGCGGCTGGGGCTTTATACTTCTGTCTACGATATATTACATTTTAAAGACAAATATTGGGCTCTAACTAAGTCTGGCAAAATTACTAAGTAGTACAAGAAAATTTCACTTCCCCTTCCCCAAAGCATCAGGTTGAAGTATAAATTCTGTACTGTACATGCATCATATTTTCTAATTCTCAAATCACAAGGGACTAAAGTAAAATGTACTTTTTAAACAAATTAGTTTAGAACAACAAACCAAGTTTGTTTTCAAATAGTTGACCCTGTTAAAAATATTCAGATCAATATTTTAATGTGATTAAATAAAGCACCGTGGGGGTATTAACTCAAACATTCCCCATTTTCTGTATTTGTATTTTACGGTTTAACTCACAGAATTTGATAAGATGAAGGGGCTACTGCTCTATAATATATAAAACATGAAAAAAATGAAGAAAGGAAAGGTAAGAATAAAATATATGTAAAGCAGAATAAAACACATGAGGATCCGGAGTACAGGTGTACTCTTACAGTGATTACAAAGATGTACAGGTATCAAAGAGACGGGATTACTAAAATAGTAATTCAAGATAACTTTAGATATCTTTACTCTCAGGCTTATTGCAAAATCTCAGAATAGTGCTAGACATTCCAGTTAATCACAAGTAAATCATACAAGGTGACTTTGTTCATCTAAGTTTAAGAAATAAAATAATCATGTACTGTATAGGCAACTTCAAATACAAAGGAATCTGACATAAAAAAAACAAAAAAACAAAACATAAGCCTATAAAAGTGAAATGAAAAGGAAAACACATATATGTTGAAAAACATGGCTTCAAAGGAAGTGTTAGAAAGAAACAGATGCCTGTCTTTACCTTTGGAATTACCGGTGAGGCTGTCACAGTTTCAGAGAGACGTGGGTATGTGTATGAGCTGTATGATTGACCTTGTTGTGTTGATTTGAAAGCGCTAACTCCATATGGCAAGTTTGGTTCCTGGAGTCCAGAGCCTGATCTGGATCGCTGTCTTATGGCTGGTTGCGGACTGGTCTGGGTGACGTAGGATGACTTTGGTCGCTTTTCGTAATCTTCTCTTGGGGTTCTATACCCCCAGTCACTATCTGAGTAGTCAATTCGTTCACTGTGTATTGAGGACCTCGAGGGTGTGCCTTGAGGTTGCTCCCTGTACTCATGTGCAGAACTCCCAGAAGAAACCCTGTAGTAGTCCCTGCTGGGCCCAGCACTTTCCCCGGACCTGACCTTGGTCTCCAAGTAGGTGTGATAATCTGGAGGCATCTTGGAGAAATCTGATTTCTGCGGCATCGCATCAGGATAGAAAGGGTCCACTCCTCTTGTTCTAGCAGTGTGCCCGTTTTGCTTTGCTGTTCGGTAATGTTTCCCCCATTCCCCTTCAAAGCTACCCTTGTCTTTATAGGTCTCCCCAGGAAAGTCTTTCCAGCTGTCCAGGTCACAGGAGTACCTGGAGTAGTGATGGCTGAAGCCGTTCTCCTCCGGCTGCTGTGAAGTGTGGTTGGAGTTTGGCTTGTGTGAGGCAGGAGGGCTTTCTTTTCGTAAAGAGTTTGAGCGTGTGACTGAAATGCTGTCAAACTCTTCCAGCAAGCCATTGATGGAGGAATCCTTCTGAGCTCTGTTTCCTCTTACAATGGTCTGTAAAAAATAAATAGAGATGTTTCAATTTCTAAGAAATAATATTTTGATTGTACTAAGAAATTTACCTCTGCTGTGCCATTAGTTATTTTTTTTTAGTCAAAAAGTAACTCATGTCTTTTTTTTGTTGTTTCAATCATTCATTTATTAAATTATCTTTAAATATAATCTATACCATACCATTTACTCAATGTGCAGTGCTTTGGGAAGGAAAGTAGATGTAAGAGACATGATTACTGATGAGTATGTTTTAGATGCATAACGAGAGTAATGTGTACCTGCATGAACAGTCACAAGGGTTTAAAGGTATTGGCTGACAGAGGGAATTTTGGCACATTGTTCATGTAGACCTTTTTCAACTGGTGATATTAGTGGACATCTGTGTAGACGCCTGTGAGCTGTGGAATTAATATTGTTTGCCTTTGAAGGTGGATTGTCCAGAAAATGTATTCCACAGATTTTTGTAAGGTAACACAGCATATATACAGTGTGTATATATATATTATGCATAGAATGGTTTCACAAGGTAAAATAATATTCAGGAGAATCTTGGGTTAAACCAAATACTATCATTACGACTGCAAGCTGTACTCATAACAAAAAATGTAGTCTTTACATAGCAAACAATTCCTTTTGAATCGTGCACATATGTAACACATGCATTTTAAAATTAAAGTTTCATACATTTTCAACCAAAATAGGAACTATAAGAATAGAACATACTGTAAAATACAACCATGTGCTTGGTAGGATTAAAAAGGTGTCATGGAAATCTGTCACATTCTGTTTATTTTCATTTTTAAGAGTTCAGTTAACCATTACTTGTTCCTATTTGTTTTTTAGCCCATTTGAGAGGCATAACATAAAGCATGTTTGGTGCTTCTGAAATTTTAGTGGGCAAACCTGTGCATAAAAACGGCACTGTAGGAATGTACTTTAAAAACTCCTGCCCAAAGTCTTGCATATAGAAAATACCCAGGATTCCCCCAGCCCAAGATGAGACAGAGTAGCCTGTTTTACTGGGGACAGGAGAGTATGATAATTCACTCTGTCATTTTACTTCGTCAGTCCAAAAGAAAATGAAATATAATTGTTGCATAAATCGCAAGGTATCATACACATCATTATGGGGCTAAATGGTAAAAAATAACAAGTTGAGTTTGTACGTACAAATGCTCACTGAACATGTTTTTTTGGTGTGAATATCAATGAATGTGGAAAGGATGCTTTAGAAAATAAAACAAAGGTTCTATTATTTTCGTAATGCAGTCTGCTGTGATGTTTTTTATTATACAACCTAGGATTTAATTATGTTATTGGCTGCCTGTCACTCCATGATGAATGTTGTCTTTAGAGTGCGAATCTTTTTTCACCTAACAGGCAATATATCTGGGCTTCGTAACTGAAGTGAATCACATACTGTAGATAAAGAATTATAAGAGTGAAGCCCAGCTTCAGTTTTTGAAAAGAAGAAAATGCACAGCAATTGCTGATTGGAATACATTAATACACTTGACATTTACAGTATTACACTTAAACAGAACTACATTCAATTTGCTGAAAACAAAAAACCACATTGCTCATGCCTCCCACCCTATGTTAAAAGGATTGATGTGAACAGTATGAGTCACTGGGGCTTTTTGGTGCAAAAGGGAACACTGCATTAAAGAAACTCCACTGATGGTATCGACACACAGTCAAAAAAAAAAAAAAGTGAAATGCAGCATGGTTATTTAAAATAAACATTTTTCAGTGCATTTCTAACCCTTTTTGTGTCAACAACAAATACTGGCTGTGGTAAACACATACATTCCAGGCAAACCCAGACTCCTAATTAGTTTTCATTCAAAAAGTAAAGCATGTTGGACATATTGGAGCCCGTACAGAATATGTCATGGAAGCTAGATAAACGTACCGTCTAATTTACAAATGAAAAAAAAAACATTTATGAACGTTAATCACAAACACAAATTCATAACTTCACAAAATCGGTCAGTGTTTTCATAATAATAAAAACAATGTTCGAATAGGTATTGACAAAGACAGGAAGTGGTCTGTTGAATATGTCCCATAACAAAAAAAGGTTGCTAAAACACGTGTTCTTAAGCAATTATTTGAATTTATAACAGAAATGAAGTAAATATGTTCAATCCTTTTATTTTATTACATTACAAATACACATGCAGTGTTGACAATTCACTCTTGATTTCGAATGTTGTTGGCACACAGATATAGAATCACCAATGTCTGCCGACTGCTACAGGCTGACCTAGGAGGGGATATGTGGAGCACAAACCACTTACCTGTAGCAGTAAGGTTATCCGCAGCACTAATATTTTATTCCATTGACTTGTTCCAATGAACTGTAGGTTACGGTGCAGGCATTAGTCAAGGCAGCAGTATCATGTGCAGTGCAAGGTGAAACTGCAGAAATAGTTAAGAGTTCAGGAGAATATATCAATTTTCCTGTTTCTCCCAAGCTGCAACAGCAAAACAAGGTGTATTTGTTTTAGATGTTTGGGTTTCCTGGAGTTCTGGGAGGCATTGCACGAGCCATCTACAAGCACCAACACAAAATGGGCACTTTTACAAGAAGCACAAATAGGAGTTTCATACAAAACAGAATAGATTACTTTTTATTTTTTTTTAGGAAGCAATAATTCTCATCTTTTTTTTGAAAATGACTCTTTAGGTAGTGTAGAATTTAAAGGCCAATGATAAAGTTTGCACACATTATAACTGAGCCCAGAAAAGTAGGGATACACCACAGCACAAAAAGAAATGAAAATACAGCATTAAGTTTGTTACATAATTGTGGTGTTTTAAGTTATATCTAGGCCCCAGTACTCCAATCCACTAATATTCTGTTTAATTTGTGACAAAGAGAATAAATTAACAGAATTAATAATCTTCACAACGTTTTCTTTCTTCATTATTTCTAAGTACCTATATAAATACTGATCTTGTAAAGAAAGGCCCAAAAGGACATTCTCAGACACTTGAAGCCTTTTTAACCTTATTTATAAACAGGTGACAATGAAAGTGAGTAAGACTTGAGAATTTCTTCTGCCTCATTAGAAAGTATTCTGAGCACTTGTGTTCTCTTCTTAGAAAATTAAACACTGAAACATGAAATATGCAGAGAGCGAATTACAGTAATAATAATCCATTGAGAGAAACGCTGCATGTACATTCCCAAACATCTTTAATCAAAATTGATTTATTTTTATTTTTTATTTAAATATTTATTTTTATTTCTAAATTATATTTCTCAATAACCATTGCACATTTGTTTTTTCTTAAGTAACCGTTGGGTGTCTTTGGAGTTCAAGTCTAAGTTCCTAAAAGAAACACAAAGCACTGATGAATAAACACAGCCCAAATCTATGGCATTTATACCAAACCAATGCACCAAAAGTGAACAGTCAGACAGACTTTAACAGACATGACAATCATCTTACTAAAATACAAGGCAAATAGTGTCAATGCATTTGATTAAAATACTGACCCTCAAGATTTAAAGATATAGGAAAGCATTTTGGAATGTTCAATTACATTACGTAATAAATTACATACAATACAATATTTTCTTTCCCTGTCTGACCTTGATTAAATCTGCATAAGACTAATGCATACTATACTACAGCATACTATATGTACTGTACTAAGTGTACATATAAATAGGTGTAAACAGAACATTTGTTCAGCTATATTGATGTACTGTACTGAGAAAACAGTGACTCCTTGGTTATACAGATGCAGCCATTCAAAGTGCGCGGTACAGACACCGCAGTACAGATACCGCAGGTATGATGACACGCGATACCGCAGTGCGTGATTGGTTGACCGACAGGGACACTCGTGGTCCGTTGGTCTGTCGTAGAAAGACTTACAGTAAACGTCTTTACTGTGCCCGTTGTAGATATTGAATTTTACCACTGAAGG